GTTTGAACAGTGGCAAATAGCCAAGATAGGACTCAGTTTTGTCTCTTGCCACAAGGTGGAGAAGGAAGGAAGAAATGGATGAGAAAGGTTTGAAAACAAGTTTCTCTAGTTGGGTGCCTTTTTCTGTAGCTTTTAGAGGCGCAGAGAGACTGACCAACCACTTGTTTTTCTGCAGCAAATGCTAAATAGTCCTGGTTTCTCTCTCTGCTACCTGATATCATGTCGACACCCTGAAGGTATCTCAAAGTAATCAGGACTTAAATTAAATTCAGTGTCTCCCCTAGCCCTCTCAAACCAGAAACAAGATGTTATCCTTTTGTCATCCCTCTCCATCAAGACCTATACCAAATCAATCACCAGGCTCTCCTTTCTCAATCTCTTTAAGTCCTGACCTCTTTTCTCCACCCCTACTCTCACTTTTTGAGTTTAGGCCACCATCACGTATCTCGTGGATTAATACAAAGTCTTTACAACTGGTTTCTCAGACAAGTGTCCCATGCTTCTGGGCCTTTGCACATGCTGATCCCTCTGCCTGGAATGCACTGCCTCCCCTGCCTGGCTAATTTCTTTGTCCTGCCCCTCCAAGGATCTCCCTACCAAAAATGTGGATGGGAATGACCAATTTCAGGAAGGTGGTCACATTAGAAGAGGAAAGGAAGAAAGAATGATAGAATTGGCTGGAGCATTAGCTGCAACTCTAAGCTTCCATTTCTTGAGAGAAAGATTTCAGTAAAAATATTCACCTCTGTTAAATGTGGATTATAGGCATACTGTGCCTGTTATATTATTTCGTGTGTTTGAAACGCTTCATAATTAAAAATAAACAATGTTGTTAAATGCGTGATGCTGCCTTCTTTGTCTTGCTTCAACTTTCCGTAGTGAGTCCTCCCACAGGGCTTCTGACCCTGGGCTCTAATTCCAGGCTTACTTGTCTGTTATTTCTACTAGACGGCAAACTCCCAGTGTGTTGTACCCACAGCCTATCAGCACTTGGGAGACACTTGCCAGTTACTCGAATGAGTCTCGAAAGCATCAGTAAAGGCTGGTACTACACGGTGGGACTGGCAGTAGGCAGGTGTTGACAGGGAGCTACAGAGTGGAGAGGAGGGAGTTGCATAGCTGGCAGAACTGTATCCATCCCAGGCCTCCTGGGATGTTGAGGCTGTGAAGCCCTTGAGATCCCAGCTCAGACTAAGCCAAGGGAGCTGACACAATGGCTTTCGGGGGGGGCGATGGGCTTGTTGTTCAGCCAGAGGAGAGCCCAGCTCTGTGGTACCAGAAGCCAGCTGGTATCACCCTCAAGGAGAAACTGAATGGGCTGAACCTGGATTATCAAAGAGGATAAAGAATTTCTGGACAGGCTGGAGGAACTAAAACAAAACAAATCAACATGTAAACACAGATGTAGCTGACTTTGACAAAGGCATGGGAAGCAAGTGCCCGAGGATGCGAAATGAAGGAATTTGGCAGAGAGAAGGGAGGGCACAGGACCTTGCACCATGGGAAAACTTGTATATCTGAGCAATATGAGGTAATCTGGCTTGTTTGTTTGTTTACTTAGCGAATATTTACTGAGATTTGACTACGTGCTTGGCACAATGCTAGGTGCTGGGAATACAACGATGAGCAAAAAAGCTGTTGTGTAGCCAAGGAAGCTTATTTTAGTCACATGGCTGAGGTCATTTGCCCATCCAGGGTCACAGACAAACTGGATTCTGTGCACTGCCTGCCCCTGAACCACACAGCATGACCCCATTTCCTCCCTTACATGATGGCACTGCAGACATCTCCAGTGCCCCCACTCCCCAAGTTCTCTTTTCTAGACTGGACATGCCATCTTTAGAGAGGAGACGGCTGGTGGAGGGGTGGCACTGGGGTGATGCTGACTAAGAAGAAACCAGTATGTGGTTTCTAGACCAGAGAGACTCAAACTCATATGGATCAGGCTGAGTCCTCTTCATTCAGAAAGGCTTGGGAGAGCTGAGGCTGAAGGAAGCCCCTAGCAGAGACCCTCGCCGGGGGGCATGCCCACGCCTGTTCCAGCATTGCTTCTGTGACGTAGGACTTGCTGTCTGAGGCAACTGAGAAGCAGGACTCTGTCGGCTGCCCCAGATCACCACCCGAGGCTCCCATCCATACCTGGAGGCTCAGAGCCAGCCCCAGGCCTCCACCTATTGCTTCTCTTTCAAGACTGCTTTCATGTTCATTTTTTATAACAGCTTTATTCAGATGTACTTCACACATCAGACAATTCACTCCTGTGTGCTCACGTTTACTCTGCTCTCATCTGGATGAATCTTAGGCAAAAGTAGGGGGAGTGTCATTCATTCTGCATACTCACTCCCCCCACCCCTTGGCTTCCTAGGGACAGTCTGGCAGCCATGGCCTTGACATTGGAAAGGCAGGAGGGAAGACCACAGAGAGCCTCCAGTTTCTAAGCCAGCAGCACCTGCCTAGGAGGGAGAGCAGAGGTCCCTGCAGCCCCAAGCAGGTCTGTGCTGCTGTGCTTAGGGAATATGGGCCACAACTGCAGGTCACAACCTGGAGATCATCCCAGGAAATACCTCCTGAGACCTAGAAGCTAGGAGCATTACTGAGAGGCCACCCAAGGAAACGGCTTCTGATCCTGGCCCTGCTGCCTGAGGCTGCTGAGCAGACTCAAGTTCAGACCTCTCACCTGAGCATCCCCCAAGGCTTCCTCAAGTGGCTCCACCAGCAACCCTTTCCCCAAAGGTTCTCATTCCATAGGTCTGAGGTGAGGTGAAGCATCACCGAATCCGGTGATTTGGATGATATTTGTAATTATGTATTGATTCCGATGTCCAGCAGTGTGAAAACTAGTGCTACTAAGACAGAGGTTTTCAAACCTGAAGGCTTGTTGCCGTGCTCCACCTCCAAAATCTCTGATTCCATAGGCTGGGGCGTAGCCTGAGAATTTGGTTTTCTAACAAGTTCTGAAGTTCTAGTTGAGGGACCACACTTTGAGAGCCATTTGCTAAGCGGACAGTCCTGTCCTCCAGAAATCACCCAAATCTGAAAGAGCAGAAATTTGTTGCCCCAGTTCTTAACTCTTATCACAATCACCTGGTGAGTGAAAATCCCGATGCCCGGCTGCCTCCAGACCAATGGAATCAGAATATCCGGCCAGGGCCCAAGAGTTGGCATTTTCTTAAAGCTCCCCAGGCAATTCCCATGGGCATCCGGGGTTGAGAACCATTGCCCTGCAAGGTCTTTGAAGCTCAACTAACTTCAAACTATCTTGAGAGCAGAGAGGAAAGGTGAGGAGAGAGTGGGAAACAACAAAGGTTACAAGAGCCAGAGTGGGGCAGTGAGCCCCAAAGCATCTGAGCCAGCATGTCATCTTAGCACAGCCAGGAAGCTCTTCTGCAAGGAGGTAGCTGCATCTTTCTTCCTCGTCCAAGGAAATGCAGAAGTGAGGGTAGGGTCCTCGCCAGCTCTGAGCACCACTGCAGGACTGATGGCTGAAGACCCCTCAAGCCAGAAGAGCCTTCTGGCCACACACTTGCCTATTACTTGGGGCTAGAGCATGGCCCTGGTGCAACACCCCAAGACTTAGGGGTGCTTATTGAGGTAGGCTGGAGCACAGCTACTTTCTCCCTCGGCCCATTGTCCAGTGATTGAAGCCCAGGTGTGCTGCGTTGAAATAAAACCAAGGAGTGTAAGGCAGGCCTGGAAACATGGCCTCAGGTCCTTGCAACAGCCCAGGCACTAATCTGTTGCCCCTCAAAGCCAAGCTAAATGCTACAGGTAGACCTTCCAAAATTGGCAGGAAAAGCAATGGGCACAACTTTCTATCTGTGCACATGGCTGGACCACAGACAAACATTTACCTGAAAGAAAAGCCTTTGAAATTTACTTATCACCAAAATTATGGAAAAAATCCCAATAGGAAGCAAAGATATGTTCACATCTTAAGGGAGAGCTTGGTATATTGTCTAGTTTGGGCCAGTGTTGGGTAATGTCTTCAAGCTTCATTATATCTGTGGTCAGGGTCAGAGACACTGAGTTCTGATGTCAGTCCCCTGGTGGGCCTTTTGTCCTACAGGACACTTCCTGCCTGGTTAAGTACTCCAGGAGAATGAATATTCATGACTAAATGCTCCCTTACAATAAAAAACATCTTAAAACCTACATCAGAGAGGATAAAAGCCAAGTCATTATCTTACGGGAATTTGCCAGAGGCCCCCTTTAAAGAGAGAAAAACATGTTCTTTGTGCCTAGAACATTCTATTTTTAAAATCTTTAAACAACAACAAATGTTTAGTGATTTTCTCATAAGTTTCCCCTGGGAAGGTGTATAAAACGCAACACCTAAAACTGGGGACCCTGGAAGATCCTACCTACATGGAAACTCTGATTTTTGGTTTAAGTACAAGATGTTTGGGAAAATGTGATAATATTTTTGAAAAGTGAAGAAAATATGTGATGCCTTCAAGGTGCCTGGAGACAGGAAGCCAGCGTTCTGGTCCAAATTGGGGCAGGACCTCAGCTAGTGCCCTTAATCAAGTCACTGAACTTCTGGTGCCCTTTTTTTCCTTATTGATATAAGGGAATGGGTGTCTTTATCCGTGCTCAAGAAGCTCAGATAACATTACAAATTCCAAAAGCTTAAGTGAAATCTAGTAATGCCCGAATGCTAATGTTGGGAAGACTTTGGCAAATGGAATCCCAAAAGGCTGACACCATTAGCTTGGGTGTCTGCAGAGTATCCTTGATTATAATGTCTGCTCCCAAACTAGAAGATGTTTCATATTTCTCACCACATGCTCCATAGTCATTTCATTTCCCCCTCATGTCAATTATTCCCCTCCAAAGCCCCACCCCAAGACTGTAGTCTTTCCCCAGCTGCTTTCTCATCAGTTGCTTCTTGGAAGGAGGTGATGCTGGCTTGTCATTGAAAGATCTGGTTCCCTGCAGGGTCATAGGAATGAATTTCATGACCCATTTGGCAAATCACACCACAGATAATAAACTGAATCTCTTGTCAAAAGAAAAAAAGGAACTTTTATTTTTTCTATTGCATAAATAATGGTAAATTAGACTCTTTTTTTATACAGATTATATATTTACAGACAAGTTTGGTTAGAGAAAACATCTGGTAAATATGGCAGTCAGTTTTCCTTTATACACTAGGATAACATATTATAATATATACTTCATTGGATCAGTAAGTGGCATGCCAAGATAATTTATATTAATATTTACATTTTATATAAAGATTTTCTTTTGACTAATCTGCTGACTCTCTCATCACTTAATAGCAGAAATCATCAACTAATACTAAATGAGAACAATGGAACGTGAATGAGGTAAATGGGAAGAGTGTGACCCAGGATTCCAGTCTCCGTGGCCCGTTCTGGATACGAGGGCTGCCCGGCTCCAGCCATCCTGGCTCGAACAGTCCTCAGCTGTGCTCCAAGTGGCATCCAGCCATTTACTACTGTGCTTCGAGAAAAAACTCATGTCTCAAGTCTAAGGATCCCTAAGATCACAGTGACCCCCTCCAACTGCCTGCAACAGATGATAGTTTGCCAACTCACTCCCTAACCAGATTTTTGGGTCTGATTTCCCTCCAAGGGAATCTTTGGTTAGTCCTTGGAGAAATAGCTTCTTCCTAGATTCAGAATTGGAAAAGAAAATCAAACTCTACTAAGAAGCCATTCAAAGACCCCTGAAACCCGATTTTCAGGTCAGAAAAACAATAGAATGTTCTTTGATTTTCCTTGGAGAGAGCTGAGGGACATTGACTTGCGTTACCAGGAATGAGAGGGCCCTTTCCTGGCCAATCTAGGTCTTTCCAGGGAAGAACAGCAAGCCTTGCTATAAAACAATGACTGGGACCTCAGTCTACTTCAGAAGGAGAAAAAAGGACAGAAACCTAGGATTTTATGCTGTTATGGGGCAGAAGGCTGGAGACTTTCGTGGATCCTGTAGTCGCTCTCTTCCTGCTCTCCGTCCCTGAGCATGGTTGCATGGCATCTAGAACAGGGACTTGAGCTCGGCATCACTTGTCAGCCCTCTAAAGGACGATCGCAGGCTGCTGGACTCCCAGACTGTTAATCTAATTCCCGACAACCACCAGGGATCATGACTCTCTTCCTTCCGCAGTGTGACAAATAATTACAAACCATGATCGAGTATACTGGAACGGCTGTTCCAGTGGCCAGAAGAAAAGGAAGGAAAGAAAGAAATGAGTGGAAGTTGTGCTCTTTATTCAGTAGCTTCCAGTTAGGCTTTCTCAGATGGAGAAACAAGCATCCTTCCTGCAATCTGGCTTTGATTCACACTACTTATACATGAATTCTGAGTCACACGACCTGTGGTAAGGTGATCAGATCCCCTTAATTCTTACACTGGTTAACACAGGACACAAAGCCCATCTTCAATGCTCCCTTGAATCAGCAAGACCTTAGAGAACAAACAAAAACTCTTGCCTGCAAGACCCGACACATTTGACATAGGCCAATCTGCATTGTTTCATCCACAGACAATAGACACCAAGAGATACTTTATGACAACTGCCTCTTGGGACTTGTGTTAAAAAAGAACCTGCCAGTCCCTAACACAATTCAAGGAGGATATAGGGACCCTCTCAAATGTGGGCATTCACTTTGACTTGTTTCAGACAGATTCACCATGGGAGGGCTCTTATGGGTCATCCCCTCTACCTTTCCTCTTGCTTTAGAGATGCGAAACCTGAGGCCAGGAAGGAAAGTCACTCAAAACTATCTGGCTGGTGGGTGGCAGAGGCAACCGGGGTCCTGCCTTGTGTGCCCTTCCCAGCCGAAAGTGCTGCCCTCACTTCTGGTTCTAAGCTCTGCTCTCCTGGCCTCAGTTCAACAGGTCTGAGCCCAGACAGAGTGCCCTGAGAGAGGCATTTTGGGCTTGGCAGATGTCAGCATCCCCCAAGGAAACGCAAACTACCAGCCTCCTCTTGAAATTCCCAGCACACATCCTTGGGATCAGGTGGCTGGACAGCAGCCCCATGGCACTCAAGCCACTGTGTGTTCCCAAAGTAGGCCAGCTATACAGGGAAAATGTTCAGAAACCAGCCTCTGCAGCCCTTTAAAAACTCTTTTTCTCTCTCAGGTCCAGGGATGGAGCAAAATCACACTTGAATTTTACATTCCCTGGAATATTCTTTCTTAATTATCCTGCTCTTCTACCAACTGGAAAATTCCAGCTTCTGCGTCTCTTTCATCCGGACAATAACGTCTAACAATGAGAGAAGCACCGGTTTGAAAGCCAAGTCATCATGATCAAGGAAAAAGGGTGAACGACAGCTATGCCCAGCATGGGAGTTGTGCTCAACTGATAAGCCACCCAAGGCAGGGGCAGGGGCAGGAGGCCAGGAAAGTCCTGTCCAGTATCAGAGGACAGTCTTTGTGGGACTGGCAAAATCTGATTCTTTGTGGCCATATTTCAAACCAACTGAATCAAATTAATTTTGCCTTGGAGACTTTTTGAGCGCTGTTATCATGTCTCTTGAGAACATCTACAGAGGGTCCCCAAACCAATATGAAGTAGAAACCATAGCTGTTAAATGACCACGTGCATTGGCAATGAACATATGATACCAAGAGAAATTCTTGACTGGTTTGTGTACTTAACCTTATTCCTCCAAACCAAGCGTCCATAGCAAGGCCACATAACTGAGGATAGTCCCCTGAGTGCCTTAGTCAAAGGAAGTATGAAGTGAAGCTGAACAGTTCTGACATTTAAATTGTCGTGGAGACAGGGTCGGTAAGAGGCAGCTCAAATCCTTCCTCTATTTTGCCGTCGCTTTAAATAATTCAAGTTGAAAACCCTTGCTGCTGAATAATGTTTCTTTTCTCTTTCTGATGGATTTTTTCCTTTCTGGGGGAGTTGAGCAATGAGGTGGTGAGGAGGATGGCTATGGCAAGACCTTTAGGTTAAGGACGCTTACCCCCGTGAGGTTCTCTGAAGAGGCCAACGAGAAAGTTCTGATCTGAGGTCATTTCAGACAGACGTTCTCCAGGGAAGGAAGGTCTACAGTCCTCCCGGTAATACAATGAGTATGTGCCAACGTCTACAAGTTTAAGCTCAGTCCATCTAGATCATCAAGGCATTATAGAAAAAGGGGCCCCTCCTTTTTGCAGTGGGGCTCCAGACCATCTCTATACCTCAGTGGAATAGGGTGAATGACATGATCCCTATGGGCGTTTGGAGAAATAATCAGTGCAGTAAAATGACCCAGTGTGGTTTGAGACCTCCAGCTGGGAGGAGCAGAGCTCAGCAGCTTCCTCAGGGATGGAGAGCAAGGGCACAAGAGAACAGGCTTTCACAGCATGCAGCCACACATGGCCAGGCCAGCCAATCCAAGGAGCTGTTCATGGCAGTCACACCCTTAACTTTGCGGTCGTGCCTTCATAATGTCCCAGGGAGGCTGCTAGCTATGGGTTAAGAGTAAAACTCTCTTTGATTTATGACCTGAGTCTGGACTTAAGCCTAGAGAAGGCATTCGGAATAAAAGATAAATTTCTCTCTCCAGTTCTTAGATACATAGCTTTATGATTCTGTGGATGGGAGGCTGGGAGTGGCATTATTGTCAAAATGAGCTCGCCATCTTTCATTAGGTTCTTTCGGCTAAACACAACATAGTAGACCATTTGTCATGTGAAATATGAGACAGGAGCAGGTACCAAGAAAAAGACTCATAGTACACATCTTGTTCTCTGCAAATAAAACATCTAAAACTTCTGAAACCACTGGGCTTGCCTAAGACCACGTGACCTCAGTTCACCTCAGAAGTTCACCTCAGAAGGTCACCTTTCTGGCTTGTGGGACAGCTTCTCCATAGGCAAACACATGCTTTCAAAGATTGAGGCTTAAAATATCTTTTGCCTTCCAGATGACATTTCTTCCATTTTGCCCACATTAAGATGTCCTTGCTCTGGACCCTGGGAGGTGGAGAAGGTGGGGTGGAGAGCATACCACCTGGCTCACAGGTAGCTCCTGTTCTCCAGAGCAAATGGAAGGACGAGTTCAAACACCAGAGGAAAAGGCAGAGAAATCACTGGATTTTTCTAGGGTAATTTCCTCCAGCAGCGGGATATGGATGCCAGGAGTTAGGTTATAATCAGGCGGAACCCAAACGTTCTTTAAGAAAATGTTCCCTATTTTTGTGTGCCTTGGCAAACACAGGGTGCAATGCAAGGGTTGTCATGGCAACATCCATTTTTTTACCGATTGGTCACGTGGGACCCACGCACATTCTGGAAGCCACTGCTAATAGTCCCCATGCTGGGTCTGGTTTTGGGGACTCTGTCTCCTTCTGGAGTGATAGGAGACAGGTTCTTTGGGGACGGAAGGGATCAGGGTCTACATCTCTTGTCTTCCAAGCAAAATGCCTCCCTGATCATCACTTGTGTGGTCTGCAGGCATCCATTCCTGCAACAAGAATGAGCCAAGCTTGGTTTGCCAATCACTCCTAAGTCCATCACCGGGAGGACAGAGCGAGAGTCGGGTTCCTCTTGCTTGGTCCCTGCAGAGGTTACCTCCATCCAGGGCCACATGGTACACCTTGGGCATGGAAGATCAGGACCTTCTGGAGTCTTCCTCCATGAGCATCATAACCCCTTTGGCAAGGGTGCTCACTGGCATGGGGCCCTGGAGTAGCACTGGTGTGGACGGGATTGGGGTGGGGCTTGGGAAATCAGCATCTTAAGCCTTACAAAGAAGCTTAACCTTTGACAGACCATCCACGCAAAACAGCCAGGATGCCAGTCACAGGGACAAGCTCTTAGCTCCCAGAGTCTCAGCAACGCCACTAGCTCTCTGACATCTCCACATGCTTCAGTCCCTGGGTGCCACGTGTGAGGTTACCATGGTAGGAGGATCACTTTTAGCCCATCAAAGAGAATTCTGTGCTTCCTTCTTGCCCTCTCTCCCTAGCAACATCCACAAGGGACTCATTCTCCTAGACTTTCTCCTGGGTAGGATGGGCTTGCTTCCTGGTCCCTGGGAGAGAGGAAAAGGGTCCTAATTAGGGAGAGGATGCTGAGGCCTTTGTATGGAACAGGCTGTTGGTGCCTCTCCAGAACTTCTTTCAATCTCCACCCCTGCACAGTGGTTAATTTCTTTTCCAGTGAAGTCTAACCCTCACATCCCTCAGGGTCCCCGTCCTCCAGTGAGGGGCAGAAGAACTTGCAGAATAGCAGCCTTTGAAGAAGTACACAATTTTGCCCTGAAGTTCAGCCTCACCTGCAGCATTGTGCTCCCCTCTCATGGGGCAGGGTCCTTTAAGAATCAGCCCCGCGGTCTCCATTCAGTCTATTTAGGGTCTTGCACCCCCTCCCCAGAAGGACATGGTCTAGTGGGTCAGGGGGTCCCTCCCACTCAAGTCCAGTTGAGAGAGGGAGGGCAAACTGCTTTGGGCAGAAACTACCGACGAAGTTGTCCCATGTATTAGAATTCTGCATTTGTACTGTTCTCGTTTAGGATTCTGACCCTGAGGGACCGTGGTGAGTCAGGCAAGGGGCGAGAGGAGAGGCAGATGTGCAGTGTGATCTCTGGCAGGGCAGGGCGGGCAGGAGGGACGGGGGGCTGCTGCCTCATTTGGCCTGGATGTGCAGGATCCCAGGCATTTTCACAGAGGGACTCTCAGCCCCCTGGGCTCTCGGGAGATTACGCCTGCTCCCTCCTCCATCCTATGGCTCAAACCCTAGTTTTGCTTGTGCTCATCATGAATATTTGCAGTCTCCCACAGTGGGGAAGTTTCTACAGCTACCCCAGGCTGTTGCCTGAAGCACTTGCAGAGGTGAATTGGAAGAAGACCCTCAGCTGAGACCTTGGATACACGAGGTCTGAGAAGGCAAGAAGGAGAAAGCTGGGAGGGAGGTGAGGCCTGAGGAGGGGCCCAGGAACACATACCAAACCAAAAAACCTACCGGGCAGCCGTGAAAGAGGAAAGATTCTAGCGCCCCAATACTGGAAGAAAGGCGAAAAGGGAGAAGGGAAAAGCATCTAGCTTTAGGATGCGATTGAAAGAAAACAGGAGCAAGACTATTCCATTACAGAAATAAAGACCTGAGCTTAGAAAAGTACAAAGGGAAATATTACATCAAAAGATTATCGACTAAGCAGACTATGCAAGCTTGAATTCATAGTGGTGGCTGATACGGCATCTAGGAAAAGTCAGATTACAGACTTGAAATGGTGTTGACAATGGACTAGTAGATTCCATTCCCTTCCCCAACAGAAGTATTCTGCAGGCAGGAGTAAATTACCTGTCGTGTTGGCTAAGCTTATTAACATCTTTTTTTTCTTTTCTCGTGAAAATGAGTCAGTTGCAGAATCTGAATGCCAGAAGATGTTATGTAAAATACAGTACGTAGTTTGATCTTTCCATCTTTCTGCTTCGGATTGCATGTCTCTTTTGCTCCGGGGAAGACTGACTAACAAAGCCAACTTTAAGATGAGAAAAAGGTAAGATGCACGAGGACCTTAACTTACAGAGGTCTTCCGGCATGGAGATGTGTTGGGGCTCCATTACTCCGGATCACTGGGGTGCACGCTGTAATGCCTCTGCATCACCAGTCTCAGTCCCTCCCTGTCCCCTAAACTACCTTGCCTGCCCCAAAGAGGCAGAGACGCATGTCAGAGGACAGCCTTCAGCAGGAGTAAGTGGTTAGGGAAGAACGATGTCACATACGAAGAAGCCAAATATATATGTGTGTCTATGTGTCTATGTTTCTGAGATGCCCATGATTATGCTTCTTTTTTCTCTAATGGCAGCACAGGCGGCAAAGCTGGGAGGAAGGCTCTCCGCAGATTCCAAAATGCTGGTGCGTGATGGGCTCTAGGAACAGAAAGCCAAGTGCCAACGGAAACCGAGAGCTCCCCAACTCTGCCAACAAGAGTCCTGTAGAAAAGGCAGTAAGAATGGAAGCGAAGTGGGTGCAACTTGCAGACCGCCAGGCGCTGCACCCCATTCAATGGCTTTCCCCTCAAGCCTTGGGGGGCTGCTCCACTGGGTGGAGGAACGAAGCCAGGGTAGGATGGAAAGCCCCCTCTTCTGTGACAACCCAAAGTCAGCCTCTTGGGACTGAGGGTTGCCCTGGTCGGGGAAGCGGAGGGGGTCCCCAGTTGAGCCCTGGGTTGAAAGTATGGGGCATGGAGGTGACTGTGTGTTCACACCTCTCTCGTGCTCTCTTAAACCACCAACCTGGATGGCCATTGGAATTCCGAAATGAAAATGAAGTTTTCTTCAGAGTTCCTACAAGTGGTTGAAGCAATCATTCGGAACTCCTGGCTATTTATTGCATTAGGAAACAAAACCATTAAAGCATTTAAGACAGCCCTTTTGTGTCCCTGCCAAGGAGATGAAGTTGATTTGCAACACTGGTTGCACTGCAATGTTGGGTTCTTCACTGAACTCTGCCACGTCGTCATCGTTCATATCCGCTTTTGTGGAGGAACAGAGTCTGCCCGCAGGGCATGCACATGCGCGGTGAGCTGGGAACGCAGCGCGGTGTGGGGAGGCTGCTACTCCATGCCGCTCCGAAGGATCTGGTTTGCCGCAATCAGCATGACGCTTATGATGAAGGCCATGGCGAAGGCGCAGATGAGGCTCTTCCGGACGCAGGTCTGTCTGTTCTGTTTCTGGGAATGCACTGGGGGTGGGGGAGCAAAGGACAAGGAGATGTGGAGGGAGTAGGGGGAGAGAGAAGAGAGAAATGACACAGTGAGACAGGTTGAACCTCTTCCTCAACAAGCCCAGAATGAGTCCTATAGGAGAAGGAGTGATCAAAGTAAGTGGACAAGCACTTCTGGGACCACTCTTGGAGGAGACTGAACGTCATGTCTTCCAGTAAATGGTATGAAATGGTAAAACTTCTATAACAAAAACCATGACAGATGTAAGGTTCAGAGTAAGGTATAAACTTCCAGATGTAATAGTTACAGTGACTTTCTGAGTGAAAAACATACGTAACATTTCAGAGTGAGTTTGATGAAAGGCATCATCCAGATATTGCTGTGTCCATTTCTGCCCGATGCCTGGCTCCCACGTCTGAGGCAGCTGATTCAGATAGAGCGAGGTTCAGACACCTCTCTACATGTTATGCTGGGCTGGAGGCAACTTACCTTTTGTGAAATTGTTCTTGGGTGACTGCTGGCCGAAGTGACTCTTAAGTGACTTCTGGCATCGTTTCAGATACGCACACCAGTGGTTCCAGAGTCAGGTCCCTGGGCAAGCAGCATCCGCATCACCAGGAGCTTATTAAAAATGCAGATTCTCAGGCTTGGCCCCACCCCAGATCTACTGAATCAGAGACTCTCAGGGTGGGGCCAGTGATCCATGTTTAACTAGGTGATCCCAGTGTGTGCTGAAGTCTGAGAATTGGGGACCACATGCTCTGTGGACAGGACCAGTGTGAAGCAGGGGGCCACAAAACCCTCTCAGACTTCCCGGAGGTAGGGTGTTCCCAGATTCTGCAGCTCCAGGAGTCTGACTTTGGGTTCTGGGGTTGCGTTCTCTTAATCCTTTTGTTGGCCTATGTCTTGCGCCGCCATTTTTATGAGGCCCATGAGAAACCGTTAGTAGGTCTCAATCAAAAGGCATGGGTTACTAATATGGGTTAGACACAGGGAAATGGAAATAATGAAAGAGAAAAGCTTTGATGAAGTGTGCTGAGGAAGAACAGATCTCTCCCAGGCACTGCTTCCCAGGCCAGACTTTCTTTCCCCTTCTCCTTCTTCTTTTTGTCTACCCTCTCTCCCCATCTGGCAGTGATCTTTGCGTACAGTTTACCACCTAGTTTATGGAAGAAATCTGTGCTCTGGAGGCAGTCAGGAAGCTACCTACACCAGAGCTACTCACTTGACCGGCAGCATTAGCACCATCTGGAAGTTTGATATAAACGTGAATTCTCAGGCCCCACTGCAGAACTAGAGTCCAAATCTCTGGGGATGGAAGCTAGGAATTTGTGTTGTTGTTTTTTCTTTTCTTTTCTTTTCTTTTTTTTAAGATTCAGTGCATGGTTGTGTATCCTGGTTGTTACTTTAATTCTCTATGTGAGCCTCCACCACAGTATGACAACTGACAGACGGGTGGTGTGGTTCCACAACTGGGAAATGAACCTGGGCCACAGTGGTGAGAGCACCAAGTCTTAACCACTAGACCACCAGGGCTTGCTTGGGAATTTGTGTTTTAATAAGCTCTCCAGGTGACTAGGGAATCACTGGGCCCCACCCCTGGAGTTTTGGTTCAGTAGGTCTGGTGGGGCCAAAGATTCTGATAGAGTTTGAGTTGCTGGAGACAAAAGGAGTAGGCGGGGGGATTGTGCGTCTGTGCACATGCGCATTAGGAAGATTGGTGTGGGCAGACTGGGGAAGATGGTTCTTTAGATTCAGATGTTAAGAAACCCAAGGCCAGGACAGAAGAACATTTTCAGATTACCTTACATTTTGGAAAGGGTCCTTCTGCTGGACATTATAGTCTACCTTTGCAAACAACCACCAACTGAGGAAAGGAGTTTTTCTTTAGGCGGGTTAAGGAGAAAAAGAAAAAAGAAAGAAATGCAATTTCTTTTCAAATTACTCTCAGTCTCTCTCTGCAGGATAGAAGACTGGCAAAAGAAAAATGTCTAGGTAGGGTCCACATGCCTTTAAAGAACCTACAAAATATTCAGTTTCAAGTACCTCTCCCCTTGACATTCAGCGGCTCCTCTGAATCCTTGGGAATAACAGGGAGGAAGTAGGAAGCTGGTGATGGTTCCAAAGACAAACAGAGCTTTCCCCAAGAGAAGGGGTCTCAGGGGCTTGTCAAGGGGCCTCTATAAATTACATCGACCGCCACGCTTCACAGAGACCCAGTGGCCCTGGCGCAGCCCTCGGCTCCCTCATGAGTGCCTGTTGGTTATTTACGCCATCATCTCTTAAGTCTTGTCTTATCGTTAATCCTTCTGGATCCACTGGGCTTCCGCTTCCCTTGGGTGATGGAAAGTATTTTTGGTTCAGTTCTTTACTTGCTGATCTTGTCTGTGTCTTAGAATCCTATAAGTTCTTAGCTGGAGGAAGAAAATTTCCTTGGTGTGGAGACATGCCTCCCCCCCAGGAGTGGGCAGAGACGCCAGTCCTCAGGAAGGAAAAAGGAGGTGGCGTTTGAGAAGGAAGGACCAAAACAGACAATCAGATGAGGATGTGGAAGTAGCGTATCTAACACTTTCCGAGGACTGGCTAATTTATTCTGGGCAGCTCCTCGGCATGAGAATGCTTCTGAAGGCAGTCATTTACCCTTCCTTCCAGAGAACTGACGAAGGCTTACGGAAAAGAAAAACTTTGTGATTGGGCTGAGGGAGAAATTTTTTGCTGAAGCCCTTCTTTGTGAAGGACACTCAGAAAACAAGGTCACAGCCTACAGGATTATCCTCCAGGAGGACGGCTGCACCTTTGATCTAAAAATCCTTCAAAGCAGTAGGAGAGAGAGATAAGGAAGAGGAAAGGCCTAGAGACCTAATAGTGTGTATGTAAGGCCATGCAAATCTGAATCCACACCAAAGTCCTGTGAGCAGAGTGAAGCTTCTAGCTCATTCCTCCGTAGTTCTGAAACTGATCATCGTTTGAGTCCGTAATTCAGACTCTGTGCCTTGATAAGAATCCTTTTACCTCCTGTTCTACCGTCACCATAAGTTGTGTGGCAAAGTGAAAAAGTGACTTTGGAGCCAGGCCCAAATCTGAATCATGATTATCCCACATCTTACCTGTGTGACCTTGGGCATACTAATTTCCCTGGGCCTCAATTTCCTCATCTATAAAATGGGGGTAATAAGACATACCTTGTTGTGAAGATTAAGGGCATATGAAGGTACTGGAATATTGTTTGTGCCTAACGAATGCCAATTCCCTTTTACAAACCTTTTAAAAGCTCCCCTTTTCTTGTTGAACACCCGCCTCAATGGGCTAGGTGTGCCTGAAGTACTTTATATATGTCAGGGCAACAGTCCTTTGTGAGCTGGGTGTATGATCCTCATTTGATAGGTGAGAGGCTTGAAGTTCCACAAAGTGGAGTCCAAGGTTATTTGGCAAATGGTGGAGGTGGGGTTTGAGCCCAGGTCTGATTGTAATATCCAGGTTCAAAACTTCTGCACCAACTCTCTCTTCTTGATCTTTTGTGTAGCAATAGAAAGGTCAGCAGTAGAAAGATCCAAAGAAAATGCACTTCAAACACTTGATGTGGTTGACAGAGTATGACCCGGCACTGATTAATCTGATTAATGTGTTCGTTGATAATAACTTAAGCGCTGTCTTTGGCTATCATATATTTGCATTGCACTATATTTTTGTATATTTATTCATTCTTCCTGTCTATGTTTTGTTTCCCCAACAAGACCACAGGTCAGCAGAGGAGGAACTGTGAGTCGGGGTATGGCTTCTTCTCCTAACTGCCACTTAGGAGCAGCCCTGGACAAGTGATTGAACTTTTCTGAGCCTCAGTTTCTCTCTCCGTAAAAGGAGATAATGATAGCCTTTGTGCTAATCTCATTTATTTCAAAGATCAATGAGCAAATAAAAAAGTGAAAGCTAGGTCCAACCGTGAACTGCAAGAGACATGCAAGCCTTCCTTCTTGTATCCCCTGAGGGCTGCAGGAAACACCTGCTTGTTGTTCTCCTCTTCCCTGTAGCCTCTAGCAGGGGGCTGAGGATATACAGATGCTCCCAAACCTTTGCTTTGGTCCTTTCCTTCATTCATTCATCCCCAACTGCCGCTAGACTCGCCTTCCTAAAGTAGGCATCACCACTCTCTGTAACCTTCCTGCAAAGGACCCCCCTTGCTGAGAGAAGCATGTTCCATCCAGCTCCTAACTTAGGAGGGAGAACCACAGACCTCCTCCTACCCCTTCCCCACCTCTGCTCCTGGACCACTGTGCCTACCTGCCCCCCTGTTCCCCCGCCACCTCTGTTCCAGCCCCGCAGGACTTCTTGCTGCTGTCTACACAAGATTCTGCGGTACTGTTTACACCATTCCCTCTGCTTAGGGGTGTCTGCTGACCTTCTCTCTCATTTCTTCTGGCCTGACCCAAACTTTACTTTCCCATGAGGCTTCTCTCAAACATCCTGCTCTCAAAGGGCCTGATCTTTTTATTTTTTTAATGGTCTAGCTCTTAATATTTATTTATTTTTAGTTGAGATCTAATTCACATACCACAAAATTCACCGTTTTCAGGTGTATATTTCAGTGGCATTTAGTACATTCACAAGGTCGTGAAACCATCACTACTACCTAATTCCAGAACATTTTCATTACCCTAAAAAGCAACCCCATATACATTAGCAGTCACTCCTCATTCCCCCTTCTCCCCAGCCCCTAGCGATCACTAATCTGCTTTCCTCTCTATGGATTTATCTATTTTGTTCCATTTTCATGTAAATGGAACCACACCCTAGGTAGCCTTTTGTGTCTGGCTTCTTTCACTTGGCATAATCTTTTTCAGGTTCATCCACGCTGTAGCATGTATCAGCATTTCATTCTTCTTGTAGCTAAATAATATTCCACCAAATGAATGTACCTCATTTTGGTTATCCGTTGACAAATAAAAATGGCAAGCAATAGGATATATTGGAGAATATGAGGAAGCCATTTGGTATAAACCTAATTCGGCCTGAACTTGTC